GGTTGGACTAGATGACCTGTAGAGGTCCCTTCCAACCCAAACTATTCTGTGATTCTATGATATTATTATGATTATGTAGCAATAAGAGTAAGAGACAAGCTTGCAATATAAATAGAAAAAGCAGGGGGTAGGAGGAGTCAAAATAGATAATTACGAGGATTTCGCTTGAGCAGTATTTTGTATACCCAATATTTCACTTTGCCTTGCCATGTGATTCTATGATATTATTATGATTATGTAGCAATAAGAGTAAGAGACAAGCTTGCAATATAAATAGAAAAAGCAGGGGGTAGGAGGAGTCAAAATAGATAATTACGAGGATTTCGCTTGAGCAGTATTTTGTATACCCAATATTTCACTTTGCCTTGCCATTACTGTCAGGGTAGAGCGAACAGAGGGTGCAAAACATAAGAAAAAGGATGGAAGAACAGAAAAAAAGACTACATGCATGTAAAAGCCACAGAGAAGGGAAAAATATTGATCAAAGGCTAGTGAAAAGAGAAGGAAAAAAGAAAGAAAAAGGAAGGCACAAACAAATGACAGAAAAAAATAGTTTATGACTCTGGATGCCACAGTTATTCTGGCCAGCCTTAGAACATGCATTTAAGTTTTTTAAAATCTAGTTGAAAAATATACCAGGTAGCGAGGCATGGTGTGTGGGGAAAGTAAACAAGACCAGTTGCTGGAGGCTGTTCTGCCCTGCACAGGGACTGCTGCAGTCAGTGTTGTCACCATCCTCATCTCATTGCTTTTATTTTTGCAAGGTGGCCTTCAATGTCCCTATCATGGATAGGACTGTGCCGGTTGCTGCACAAACACAGGACACAAAATATTGCCGCCCGTAGTGAACTTAGTGGCTGAGCTGTTAAAAACCAGTAGTTTTTATACTGCTGGCAATTACCAAGGTTAACCTCCCTTTCTCCTGCTGCCCCATCTCTCCTTGCCCCAACCTGCTGCCACAGTGTCAGCAGGGCCCAGTGTGTTATGTGTGTATCGCATTTGACTGTCCACCTTGAGCTGCCAGCCCATACCACAGGCTTGCTGGGCACTTCAGAAAGTAACTTTCTACCCCTGCGTGCAGCCGCAGGATGCACAAAGAAGCAGCTTTTCTGCAAGAGGTATGTATTCATGCCCAAAGCACTGAGTTACTTCAGATGCACATTATACAGTCAATAATTTCAGTGGGCTGGATTCTGACTTCACGGTCATGGGGTTCAACATGGGTTCGGACTGAGATCCCTGAAAGTGGCTCCACTCAGTTTCCCTACTGTAAGGCTGATCAGATTTAGCAGCTATTGGGTTTTGTAAGTGCCAGTAATTCACGGTAAGTCTTTGTTAGTATTCACCAATCTGAGTTTGCACTGGTGCATGCAGTAGAGCTTTCCTCAAGGCTAAAATAATCATAAAGAGTTGATTTCTCTATTCCACAGAATTTATCTTCATCACAAAAATATAGCAAGATTACCTGCCTTGACATAGCTTGTCTCGGTACACGCTTCATCTTTCCAAATAGCGAGATAGATACTTGACAAGTTGTTTGTTTTTTTTTTTTTTTCACCTGCCCTCTGGTATTGGGCTACAGCTTTCCATTATTACCTCGACCCCTTTGGTGACTCTTTCTAAACGAAATCTGGGCTTTTTTATATCAAAACTTCACCAACCTTTTCTGAAATCTTTCACGCCTTCCCACTCCATTCCCCTTGTAGTTCTCCACGGCTGACACTATATACAAGCACACATACATCTTCTGCAGTCCTTCTGCATCTCCGGCCCTCTAGCTCTGACCTACTCTTCCCTGCTCTTTTTCTTCCTTTACCTTCTTCCCTTTCTCCATGTCCAGACTCATATCCCAGTGCGAGGTCCATGCAGCTAACTCCTGTCTCACGCTTCCTTTACACTGGGTCTCCCCAACGTCTGGTGTGTGGAGCGATGTCTCCTGCTCTCTGACCTCTTGGCTGAAGCCCAAAAGGTCCTACTAAAGGACAAATCCCTCAGCTGCTGTGCTGTGTCACAGCCCTCCCTGGCTTGTGTCTGGCATCCAAAGAGCGGATCCTGGAGAACATCTGATCTCTGGTCACGTGGAGCAAGCCCCTATAGGAAACCCACCTGAGGCTGAACACGTACGCAGTGGTGGGAATGGGCGGGGGGAGGCTGAACACGTGAAGACCATGTGTTGACATGCAAAAATGAAAGCAGCGGCTGACGTTGATCAGGAGGAGGAAGGCTGTTAATTCAAAGCATGCCGCTCATCCACGTTGGGTGCAGATAGAAGCAATATGCTGGAGAGCCGCTACGCGCTGGGGTGGGACTCGCAGGGGCTGGCCGGCATGGAGCAGCTTTTTGGCACGGTGTCCAGGGGAGGGAGCTGGGGAAGGGGAGGAAGGGGATGGCTTTGCCTCACTTGCTCCACTTTAAATACCTTTGCACAGAGCTCTGGCCACTGCAGTAAGGTCAGAAGGCTTCACCTGCAGCGGCAAAGGGGCCTCCCTGCGTGGGCATCGCTGCCTCTGCAACATGGATGCACAGCACTGCAAAATGAATGGCGACCCTTTCCAGGTGAGTGATGGGGTCTCTGTGCCCGCTTTTTGCAGGGGGGCTGTGGCTGCCTCCCTCCTGCCCCCCCATGCTTGCAAATCTTGTTCCCCGCTTTCTGAGAGGCAGTGTGACCCAAGATGAGAGGGTGCCCACATCTTGATGCTTTGGGGTGCCTGGTTGCCACCGTTCTCTCTTTTGGCAGCTGGCATACTTGTCTGTTGTTAATTGTGCTCACAAAAGTGCAGTGAGAATGAAAATGAACATTGCGACAGTATCCTTGCATATATGGCAAATAGAAGAAGCAGAAAAGACCAGCAGCTAATTAGAGATCCTAAACCTGTGTGATGAAAAGAAAGTTGTCTTCTTCTGTTAAAGGAAAGCAGCTGAAGTTAACGTGCTCTTCTGGTGGAGCTATTTGCTAAATTCTGGGACTCTGACATCCCCTTTTTTTAACGTTTACTGACTTACTTTGAACCCTTTGCTTTCGAAAATACAGGAAAGTCCTGAAGCCCATGCCTTTTGATTACAGGCACTATAGTTACTGCAGGGGCAAGGAACATAACTTTAGGCCAGCATGGTTAATCATTAGGACCAAATTCTGCATGTATGTGTCCTATGCAATACTGCTGAAGCCAGAGACGAGCTGTGGAAGATGCGGGGGAGGGGGGGGGAGGAAAGGGCTTCAGTTTCTACAAGCTGTTTTAAGAGCAGAGCAGCCAAGGAAGCCTGGTTTCCTACTGCTTTGTGTATGAGGCTGAACTCCCACAATAATTCTCCAGGATCTCACCTTGCTACTTTTCCAAGTTGTGTAATTGCTTGGTCCCAATGAGATCTGTGGGAGCTGAGCATCTAAATGCCTTAAGAAATCTGACTCAGAAACTAGTTCCATCTTCAGAAGTAACTTAGGAATCTTATTTCCTTTAAAATATTTTTTTCCGTGAATTTTCCCCTACTATTCTGTGTATCTAGTAAGTCTGGAATTTGCGACACAGAGGTGAAACTTTTCTCTCACTGAAACTGCAAGCCAAACTTCCCCTGGTTTTAACAGTGTTGGAATTCACTCTGAAGGGCTTTATCTAATCTGCTCAGAAATGGATTAGAAGGCTGACAGGTCTGTGTTACTCATCTGCAATACTGCCACACGTGTCAGGAAGGCAATACCAATCTCTGTGTGGAGTGGTTAACTAAAAGTGCAGGT